TTACTGTTTTTTTTTCYTACACTAACACATTGTAATAAATCCCATCAACCTACAATGGTAAGAAAAGGAATTTATACAGTCCTATATTTAACTAGCCTTCATATTTTTGTTTAACAGTTCTTTGATACATGCATATATATTACGATGAATCTCCAGAGGTGTCCTCATCCTGCCTTACTATTATCAATAGCAAAATTCAATTGATTTACTAGAGGCAGACTTTCACATGTGAGAAGCTTTAACTGTATGTGTGAATGAATACAAACATATTAAAAAATCATAAAATGGTCATAAGAGTTTTGGTCTTATTTTTCTATTGCATATTTGTTCACTCTGCATGTATAAAATTTGTCTCTTCTCCCTTTTAAAGAAAAATATATTTTATTTTTCAGATTACTCAACTCATAAAATATCTTTTTCTGTAAGTAACTGTGTTCTCCTGCTGACATGAAAATAACAGTCTGTGTAGGCAGTAAGGTTGACAAAAGAATTAGATCTTGAAGAGCCAGACCTGATTTTTCTGAGTGGGATCAATTTCACATGTGTAAATGCCCTATACTTAACTATTAAGACAGACTTCACTATCTTAAAGTCAGATTTTACATATCCAGATACAATTTCGTCAGTGGTTAAGACACTCACTAGTTATTGGACTTCTGTGAGAAAAAGGGGCAATGAAGTTTGTCAATGAATCAACTGAGCACATAAGAGGATGAAGTGGGTTTTGAAAATTTCATTTTGACTGAATTGGTCACAACTTGGAATCACGACCCATTTGTCTATAATGAAAGAATCTTTCTAGAAAAATATCTTATCCTGGATACAAATATTTGCAATATCTTTAATTACAGATAATTTACAACAATCATTTACAAAAGGTTCCAGTAATTATCTGCGTAAGTGCTAAAGTATGTTCTTTGTGTTCAAATTTTTGGAATTTCAACACCATTTGATCTTTTGATTTTTTTTTCTTTTTTTGCTAAAACGAGATGTTTGTTACCATATTTCTACCGCTTTTAGGTAATGTGGACCCAAATCATAGTGGATTTACACTCTTTGAACACAACTTTTTTTATTGTAGTATTCTAGAATTTCTAAATTTTCTCAAAATTTCTCTGAAATCAAGACTTGTGACGGCTCATATAAAACTTAGAATCAAACTACCAGAGTGCCTAAAATATCTAGGAAGCAGGTTTAACATATTGATAGAAGTACGAGAGAAATGTTATCCATCTCAAATATTTGTTTTAAACTGATCAGAAATACTGAAAGCATTCTACTCTTTGTCCCCTTACAACAATTACATCTTTTCTGATTCATTTTTCCTTGGTATTTTTTAAAATGCTACCTTACTATCCTAATAAAGGTACCAATAGACTTCTACTTACATGCTTTCCTTTTATTCACCTTTTGAAATTCCTACTATTTCTTTATTTATTTATCCTCTTTTTCCCAGTGATTTTATGTTTTTTATTACATTGTATTTGAAATGGAACTAATAAAACCCTTTAATAAAAGTTTTTAATAAAAAAAATAAAAATACCACTTTCATTAAAGCTTTGGGAAAATCTGTTCTTAAATTCCAAGTCAGGATTCACACTTTTTCATTCAAATATTTTCTCCCTTTTAATAAAGTTTGTATTTGTATTTTTCCTAAATTCTGTTCATGTATAAAAGCATGATCTATATATCATATTCTATACAATATTAATATTTATATATTTTAAATCTGTCAAGATGGTGAATAAAACAATTTCCTCATGTTGCGTTCAACATTCTAGTTTAGGAACTTGACAACTAGTTTACAGAGATTTTAAGAAATTTTTGGTATCGGATGCAAACAACCTCTAAGACATTTCATTCACAGTTCTCTCCGCTTAGCAGGTTTGTGTTCTTCAGATGGATATTTTAAAAAGAATGATCCTATTCTTTAGTGTGGTTGATAGTCTATAGGAAATATAAATGTGTTCCTTCTTTTGTTCATTATATTAAACACGGATGCTGGCCTCAGACAGCATAAAGGTTATGGAACTACATATATTTATTCATATCAAGGCATGCATGTCATAGCAAATGGTATATTTAAGACTGTAAAATGATCTGTGCTTTTATTTCCTCTCAACTTTTCAAGAAATATATCTTTTCACATAAAATTTGCCCAAGTTCAGTCTTGCTGTGCAGACTCTTTCTATTCCTTGGATTTTTGCTGTTAGCTATAATGAAAAAAGGATCATGTCCTCAACTCTGTGACAATATGCAACCTCAGATTCTATTTTTTTGATAGAATCCTCTTCTCATTAACAAGAATTTTTTAAAATAAGGATAAGTTTGAAAGACATTCAGGTAAACTAGTGAACGCACAGTTCAGACACCATCACTGCAGGTAGTCCTTGATGATGAATGAAGGACACATAATCTTGCAATCTGAAAGACAGCCTCAGCAGAAATTGTTTGAAGCTTGAGCACGTTCAACTAGAGATTTTTCTTCATAAAATATTCTAAATACAAAGGTTTGGGTCTGCATGTGAACCATATAACAACGTAAATTTTTAACCAAAATAACCTTCCATTCGTATCTAGAAGCTTACTTTTGACTCATCCATGAGTAAGTTATTATTAGTGAATAACTCCAAAATTCAGTTCCTGGCAAGCACTAGCTCTGAAAATAACAATATTCTCTCACAGCATAAAAATAAAATAAAATTACAAAATAGCTGTTGCGAATAGCGTCATTTACAAGGATCCTTGAATTGTCACAGTCCAAATTATCAGTGGGCAGCAGCTGGCATCAYGCAGAACGCTGGAATTCTGAGAGCTCTATCTCGGGGAGGAGGTCAGAGACAGACACGATCGCAAACAACATACGGCCACCTACTCTTAGAGGGCACATCTCTATTGTACGCTGGTAATGTGCTGCAGCAATGGCTTTGCTGCTTCTATTTGTAGTGTTTTAGCATGTCYATGAATAAGCAAAAAAATTCACACTGTTTTCCTCAAAGACGTGAAGGAAAATGTTATCTTTTTTCTTGGACTGCATGGTGGAAAATGATCTTCTGTTAATCACTGCTTTTTCCATATCAATAAATAAACAAAATCATTTCAGAAAGCATGGAAGATGGATAGCTTGGCATGTGGTACATACCCATTCCTTTCCATTTTTTTTATGCTTCATTCTTTTGCAAGGAAACAATATTTAAACAAAATAAAGCTTTGGATTTCATGCTTGTGGCCACCAGTTTTTTAAGGTGTTTCTAAGGTGAAAACCTTAAGAGGAATTTGATCTTATCCCAACTAAAAGCTATCAGTAAATATGCACTGTAATGGCTAAATGCAATTTACTATTTAACACCAAGGAGAGTGAGGAAATATCTATACATCAGAAAASAAACAAACAAACAAACCATAATTTTACTCTCTTTAGGTCATACTGCTATAAAAATACACCTTTGAAACTTTTAAAAGTTAGTTCTTATAAMGAAGAGCAATAGTCAACAATAAAAAAATCAACTGTATTGAAATACAGTAAAACCAAAAAATCAACAAAAGATAACCATTTTAAGGGAGAGTCCACTTTTAATGAAACAGAGAAAAAATATACATTAATTCCTGATGGCCTCTAAATCTATAATAACCTAGAAAAGGCTATTCTACTTTATACAAAGATGGTTTTGTGTTATTTTAAATGTACTGTGATGTATTTTAACACTAATATTTATTTTATTTAACGCCATAATGCTTTGTATAGAATATCAACTTACTTGTTTATTATCTTTAAAATATTTTAAATGACACCAAAATAATCAGATATACTATGTCTTCATTTTTGTTTGCATTATATTTTCCAGCTATTTGTTTCAAAAAATTGCTATTAGTGGTGATGTTCTCTTCATGAATGGCATACAGTAATTTGCAAAACAAAGCAAGGATGAAAAAGTGATTGAAATATAGGAAAATTTTCTAATAAAATATTACTATTGCATTATGAATTATTGATAGAACATTTCTGGAACTCTTTCTCACATGCTCATCTTTCTCACATGCTCATCTTTCTCAAAGAAAATTTGCATTAGAGACACATCTATTCTCAGGTTATGTTTGGCTTCAAATACATGTTTTCCAAGCAGCATTATTAAAATATAGTAAATATAAGATTTTAACATCCATTCCGCAGCCCATACCCAATGAAAATATAGCACTGAATTGAAGTAGGGAATTGTCTAATTGAGAAATACCATTTATATCTTTATCTTAGGTATTTTAATGGTACAAGACAGGTTGCACATATTCATGCTGAACAGATGTTTAGAAAGCATTCTTATGCAACTATTACATCTTAGCAATGTTAAGCCTGCATCATCTCCACTTTTCACCACAAAAGATGTTACTGCAAATTACTGTTTTAATGTGAAGTTCTAACACTTTACTGATTGCAATCTGAGAATTTCTCGTTTAATTGAAATCAATGACCACATGCTAACTGATTTATATCAAGCTAAAACTGGTAAAAGAAGTCCTTGAAAACATCAGCAGTGCCATAATACATATCCATTTGCTAAGCTCCATGTGCTGCTCCATGGAGGAACAAATCTTGAGGAGATGCACAAGTGTTTGGTCTTATGGCATCAAACAACAGAGTGAAAAAGAATCTACCTTAATACACTCAGGAATMTAGGAACTTAGTGATAAATTTTAACTCTAAAATCCTAAGCAACAACATTTTCCTTTATTTCAAGCAGAGCTCTAAGGTATTGTATCTTACACAATTTACTCACAGAACAGTATGGCCAAAACAGCTTTTTAATCTAGATCTTTATCTCAGCATTTCTCTGTTGATATTCTTGACGTGAAAGGAGCATAGAAGAAACAATCAAGAAAAAAAAGTCCTAAACCAACATATATATGTATGTGTATATGTGTATATATATATAAGCCTCTKGAAATCAGTAATTAAAAAATAGTAGTTGAATTTTTTCTCAGGGATTKCAGCTGCTTTTTCCTACCTGGCCCATCCCAGTCTTCTGTCTCCACAGCAAGTTGCCCAGGTTTCTCTGCCCTTGCATCACCGTCTGATTCTGCTGTCTCTTGGATGCCTTCTCCATTGCCTGAAAAACAAAGAAACACAGTATTAACATTTTTCTATAGAAACTGTWCCCAAATCAGCATTTACTTGTGTCAGTGAGAATATATACATGTCTAAAAGCAAAGTGGCCAAATTGTACTATTAGGCACAGCAATCTGTGAATTCCCAGTGTTTCAAATAAGCCTYGAGTGCTAATTCTGTTATGAGAGAAATCTTGAAAATCGGCCTTTATCTGGTATACTTAGGAAAACAGCATCACAGCTTGCACCTAGGCTTCAGAGTAATGAACAGAAGGTCACAGACTTGTACACACAAATGAGAGAAAGGAATCAACTTGTTATTCCCAGGCTAAAGGAGTGATTAAGCAAGAAAAAAAAAAACAAAAAAGAAAAGCTTTCAGTTTCAGTTAACTGCTTTGTGGAACTGACCCCTAACTGTTGCTTAAGTATTGCAGATTAATGATGCTTACTACAGAGATGTGGTCCCCTAACAATTCTGTCATTCTGACAAATAATGGAGATYTATTCCATTGTATTTAGGAAAGTAGGGAGTTTCATTTTAAAGGTTTTAAGCTACTGGAAACCCCTGTAATAACTTTCCCACTGAACAATTTAAAGAACTGTAACATTTCTGAGGAATTTTAGGCTGTTTGCTATCTAGAACTTGAAAGAGCCTGTTTGCCTCCAGTACCTATGCAGTGTAAAACAGTGTATAGATATACTACACATTATACTCCTGCTAGATTTTTAGAGGTGATCATTTAAATATTATTTGAATAATTTATGGTTGAATGTGCTTTTATTTCAGTCRAATAATGATTCTAGGCAAGCTTCATGAAAAAAGACACTTTGGAAAAAGCACTATAAACAAAAAATAGTGAAAGCGAGAGTTTTACACAGTCGTGGTCCCAGCTATATTATGTAATAGCAGTTCCAGTTACACTATATAACAGTAGTCTCAGCTGCATTAAGAGCAAGTTTTAAAGAGTATATATTCATACAGTAACTTAATGTGCTTACAGATTTTGGGTTGTTCTGGGTAGGCTTTTTGTTTGTTTGTTTTTCTTTCTTTAACGAATCCAAGAAACCCCTCATATAAGAAGATATGATGAATAGAAAAATCATAGCTATATTTTAAACCATATCAGTCAGAAATAAGTCATGGTGTAATTTTTGTGCAAATACACAAACTTTAAAGGAAAAACGTAGTCCAACAGAAGAGTGCTAAAAGYAAACGCTTTCAGAGTCTAAAAGTCAAACTGCCTGTTGATTTGATTAGAGTAAAGCAAGAAAGAGCCAAAGTAGAGCAATTAGGGAGTAACTCGCAATTTTTTTTCCGCTCATGATAAGAAAAGCTTTTATTAGCAACATAGGTAAAGAAATGTGATTACAAACCCTGCCAGATCCCCATATGTTATCAATGGAGCTATATTTATACTTGATAAGATTGTGACCCAGAGTTTTCAAGTACATGATTGTCTACAAGCATGAAGTATTAACTTTATGTGCACATGTAGCATCTTGGAATAATGGATTCTTTCTTGCATTCATAAAACAAGCAGTTTTTGAAATCCTAAATATAAAAGCCTGATAATCTACTACTCACCCAAACCAAACACCACAATCACTCCAGATTCTGCTAACAAGCACTGTAAATATAGTTCAGTGGATTCACAGGCACGTAAAGCTAAAAAGCATCATGAATATCTAGTAGAGCTTTCTGTGTTCATGCACTGTATAATTTTACCAAGATATTTGCAGTTTATGTGCTTCAGTTTGATCTCATTATCTTTCAGAAGATAATGTTAAAAATTCACATGCAGAGAAATCCGCCAAGTTTTTTTCAAGTAGACTTAGCAATTATTTGTCTTTACCAACCGCCCAATTTTACATTAGAATTTCTCTAGTTAGCTTGCAGTAATTGAACTGAGTTTTGCTTTTGTCAGGTTGACAAAAGAATCTCCTATTATCACATATTTCTACCTTCATAGCTACTCATGGTTGTAACAAAGCACCCTTTATGGAGGATAAATGACACYTTTCCAAAGTTCAGATCTAGCCAAATAACTCCAGTTTGCTCCAACTGTTACCAGGCGCATCCCARGAAGGACAGTTTTAATGATGAGTTTCTAACTCAAGCTATATAATCACTCTGTTAATCTCTTAAAATACTTTTTGCATTGACTTCTTATACCAAAGAAAATATTTTTCCTCCACTGTAAACAACAGATCTATATGGATAGATTCTTTTAAAGCCCTTAAAAATAATTAATAATCATTAAAATGTTATTAATTATAAAAACAATTAAAATAATAAGAAAAATCTTCAGATAGAACCTAAGCACAGAGAATTTTAGTTCCAAAATACAAAGTTTTTCCAGACTATAACATATGCAAACCTAGCACAAGCATGCAAATTTAAGCATTCTTTCAATCAATGCAACCAACCAGAACATCAAGCAAACAAAACCATTAGAATCGAAAGAGGGAAGAGAAACTTAGGTGAAAAGATTGTATTGAAGGGCAAAAGAAGGACAGAGTTACAGTTAAGGTACACAGCCTAGAGCATGAAGTATTTAACTMTTTAGAAGATGAAGAAAGATCTGGAAGTTTATGTTAGCAGATGTCTTAACATTTCATTAGCTCACATTTTCAGTGTTTCATGAAGTCTGGTGTTATGTGTGTTTCACAATCAGGTTTTCATGAATTAATACATGTCCTGTGCAATTAAGCGTAGAGCAAAATATGCATAACTTGCATTAAGGAAAACTATGTTTCCTATTTAAACCTATTTCAGATTGCTTATGTGAATATTTTCTACTATTTGCCAACTATCAAGTTCATGTATTACAAACCCAAAATATCTCAATAATATCTCTTTAGTGCAGAGAATCTCCTTTGTCTGCGCTAAAACAGCTTGCTTGGGAAACCAGCAAACTATAGTTTACTGTGGACTTCATGATCATTCAAATGCTATTTTTTTTTAAGTTACAGAAGACATAACTTTTTATTACGCACAGCAATGAGTGGARGTTTTTATTCTTATAACAACTAAGATCAGTACGCAAATTGTGTCATCTAACAGAACACTATTGCATTGAAAAGCATGTCATATGAGCAAGAATCTACAATCTTGTAAGGCACATTTAGTCTGGAGTCTACCAGACTTTCAGCATTTTCTCTACCTTTAGTTCTAAAACTACACTTGGAGCAGAATTCATTTCCTCCAGCTATAGATACCTGAAAGTTGGGCTAGTCCGGGGTAATTATGCAGCCTCTCCTATTGTCAGGGAAGAGAGAGGGAGAAACTTCCAAAATGACTCATCCCATTCTAGGATGTGTGAGAAAGGAGACTGCTCTTGGTGTCTGAGATAGCCGAGATGAATCATCCTCTGGTTTAGACCAGGAAACTATCTTTAGCCAGCTGAAGTTAGGTGAAACAAATCTCTKCTTTATGTTTAAGTGCTGAATACACAAAACTAATTTAAACTCAGAGAAAAAAAAATAAAATGACTGCTAAGGTCATATTACAGTACTGTGGTTATTTGAGTAATTTTTTTTATTTGATTTTAACTATTTCTTATGAGAATTCTCTGGTTATTTGCCTCTTCAAAAACAGTTCAAAGAAGGTGCTAAACCACCCACTGTGGCTGACTAGGGTATCTGAAAATTGCAAAAGACTCATATTGCTCGAAACGTGTGAGGCGGAACTCCAAAATCTCTGTCAACACTGACAAATAGGAAAAGAGAGACTTTAATATTAATGCATCATTTATCTTAATATTTTTAACAGAAAAATAGTTTCTTTTTTTACTGAACCATCTTAATGAGCAGTACTTCATGGAAATCATATGGGTTAGCAGTTCCCAACCTTGCTGTTTTAATCCATGTTGTTCCTATCAATATTAGCCTCTTACACAAATTCTCATACAATGTAACTATTGAACTTTCTTCACTAGAAATGTTACAGCTGCTGTTAGTCACTCTATAATACATTTTGCAATCAGTTAAATCAACAAAGTATTTTTTTTTAACAATGAACAGTTCAGAACTGACAGATCTACTTTCTTGTTCAAAACTGCTTATCACAGCACAGATATCATATATGTTTTCCAGGTGCTTCCTATAGTCAGGATACCTTCACAGAAACCACTCACAAAGATAAGGTCATAAAAGAGATGAAAAGTGTGCAAGCTTCATATACTCATGGTTTTATCATCAGACAAAATAGCTTTGGGTGAAGATCCGCAGCAGTCGCAAACACCACATCGCAGCTTATACTAAAGRGGAGAGAACTCTAAAAGTTTGAAATTCAGGTTGTGCTCATTTTTCCTGGCAACATAAAAGTAAACTTAAATTGTTAATATTCTAATACAGCTGTTGAGAGTGAAAAGGCACTTCCCAATTACAATAAATCAATTCAAAAATAAATTGTTATGAAGCACATACCATTCTGTACCATTAAGAGGGAAAACAGATTTGATTCAAAGACTTGGGAATTCATTCTCTGTAGACTTTAATTCAGCAAGGTACATAACCTTTAACTGGTCAGTATGAGTTGTCATGAAGAGGCAGCCTTTCTAAGAGGCTGGGGACAAAAGGTGAAGAGGCCTTTCCTCCTTTCCCCCACTATCTATAGCTGCARTAACTCCAGGTCTTGTGAAAAAAAGAATCTTGAAGTTGCACATAAAATCAACCAGTACTTCAGCAACTATAGGTCAGAATATTAAATCATCCTTTATTATTTGCTTTATCACAGGGCCTACCAGCATGGGTGACAAGACTGCAGTGGCTACAATGCCATATTCTCTAGCTCATGCTACCAGAAGTTGYAAGATATTGAGACAGAAACTGAGGCAATGTTTTTCCATGAAGCTGTCATGAAAGTTAGACACTGGGAGAACAGAGAATTTACAACTATCAGCACTCTGATATCASTTAAACTGAGGCATATCAGAAATAACTCCAAAGATGCCCACCAAAATAAATTGAGACTYTGCTGTACAATTACAGTAAGTTTGAG